TTCCTAATAACGACTAAAAATAAAAAATTAAACTGCGGCTGCCAACCCGCTCGGCAAGCGTGACAACTATGGGCGATGTAGAGCGTCGCGCCACTAGATGAAATGACGACCTGGTAAGAGAAGTAGGAAGTAGTAACGCAGATGACTCAGGACCGATTTTAGGCGTTCCTTGTGGGAGGCCTATGTTCAGCAGTGGGCTTGGGAAAGGCTGTAATGACTGAAAAATTTGAATGAATTTACTATGTATCTATCTACGACTATTATGTTTTATGTATTCATCATTATTGTGATTTTTTTTAAATAAATTGGTACTATGGTACCCGTGAGCCAAAATGATATTCAGAAAATACATTGGCAGGTCTATGATGAAAATGTTCTACATGATCTAGTGGTTTTGCTGGTTTAGAATATGAACACCGTTTTATGATACGTTAAGATATAAATTAATTTTTGTCGTTTTTGAAGCAGTAATAATATTACTCGCTCTTTTTCTCTTAGTCTCAATGGAACCTGGTTAAAGTGTCGATTGATATGGCATTGTAGCTAAAATATATTTTGTTAAGGTCAGTCGGTCAAAAGTACAAGCATGAGGTAAATTTAGGTGATGTTCTAATTACATAACTATCCTGTAATAAGTCATGGTAGCAAACGTGAAGAATGTCCTCATAAACTAATAAATTGTCTAGAATTGCTTCAAACTGCTATTTTGTCATTTTTGTATACCGCAATACTTTAAATACATTATTTTAACTAATTTAGATTTGTATCTAATATTTAAAAAAATATTTTTTTTGTTCGTTTTTTATGCGCTGCCATTCTGTTCATTAGATTGCGCTAAAACTTTGTCAACTTATTGCTTGCACTTGTGCGAAGGTAATAAGTATATTACAGTTAACTTACAGGTGTCGCGCGTGTCGTATGGACACATTCATTTGAAAGTTATTTATTATTAAATTTCAATGAATGTATTATTATCATTCCTAATTAAACAATATAACTGTTCCAAATTTAAAACGATATTTCCATAATTATATCTTATGTACCAGTACCAGCTAGTTTTAAATAAATTCTTTTGTTTTTTTTTTATTGATAGCCCTTATCTCATTTTTAAATAAGTTATCCAAAAGAGGATATATTATAGTCACTATGATAACACACAGTTGTCGTATGGATAGAAAAATCGATCGACAAGTTTTGTTCTTAAAAAAGGCACCATTAGATCAAGGCATATTTAATTTTCATCTTTTCCATTACAGCCTATAAAGGTCCATTTATGAACAAAGAACTCCACCAAACATTACCTAACGATGATTAAAGATGAAGATGCTGGTGGCCATCACCTGTATCAATTTCTCTCTGTCGCCTCTCACGACACCCACGGGCCGAGAAGGACGGGGTATTTAATTTATTTTGTTTTAATATACATAATTAAAACTGGTTGTTTATTGGCAATTGATATGTTATTTGCACCTTTGTCTACCGACTTCAAAAAGGAGCCGATACTCAATTCGACTGTATGTTTTTTATGTGTGTTACCTCATAACTATTTACTGCGTGAACCGATTTCGATGATCTTTTTTTTATTTGAAAGCTGGTGCTTCACGTGTAGTGTCATATAAATTTGATCAAGGTCTGACCAATAGTTTTTGAGTTATTCTAAATAATTTGTATTGAAGTCGAAATTTTTAATTTTAAATTATATATAAGAAAATTGGTTAAATATATCAGAAACCTGTACGTTTAAATTAATATCGTTATTTTTTAAGTTAATTTCCGTAAACAATAAACAACTTGATTTGTATCTTATACTTTATAATAAAATCTGATAGGAATTAGGGGTATTTATTTAACACAAGCATTAGATCTAGTGAATAAGACGTGGTGTAGGTACCGCAATATATATAAATACTGCAAATATACATATTATTATTATTATGACATCCGGGGACCTACTAATAGGACTTTGAAAAACATCATTCACAAATCTGTGTAATGAATAATTTATAACTCTAACGACTTTAGCATTCAAATAAAAGTAATAATAACGAATACTGTTTTGTGGTATTGTCAATTTTCGCTCTAAGCTTTATATCTGAATTGGGCAGGCCGAAAATTTTATAAAACATGTCAGTGATTTCTAATAATTATATTTGTTATTCGTCTTTTATGGTGAATTCATTATAATATAAATACGGATGGCTCCATAACGTCATGGCTTAGAATTTGATTGCCGCGCTGAGGACTGCGGGTTCGAATCCCGCACGGAACAAGTATTCATATGGCCTATAAATAATTTTTCTAAGTTTGGATGTTTGTCTTTATGAAATTTATTTTTATGAACTGCCTCCACGATACAGCAGAAAATTCTAGTGTGGGGGTAACGTTTATTAAGAAAAAAGAGAAGGAGATAGCAATAAAATTGAAGTGTATGTGATATTGAAATAACTGGCTTTTATTAAGCTCAAGAAAACAGGAAAAAGATCAATAATAAACAGAATGTTAGTAATTCATCCAAGTTTATTTTATCACCTTCAAAATACGCTCCTTCAGAAACGATACACTTTCTCCAACGAATAATCCAATCATCAAAACATTTTTAAACGCTTTTTCCGGAACTAAGTTCAATTCTTGCTGTAAATTCTCAATTATGTCTTCTACTGAATGAAAACTGGTGTCACAAAGTGGTAATTTGAAATTAAGAAAAAGAAAGAAGTCAGCTAAAGCTATATCAGGAGAATAAGGTCATTGTTCGATGGTATTTGTTGAGATTTTTGTCAAAATTTCGTTCATAATTTCGCCTTCTGTGATTGACAGCATACAGGCATCTGAACAGACAGATCTCCAAATGCATGCGGCGGGACTTACGCAACTTCAATACAGCTCGTATTGAAGAAGCGATCGAGCGGAACCAAGGCACCAAAGTCTTTGCCAGAGATCTGTCTGCCAGAAAGAGCCACCTGTCAAAGCTAAAGACAGAATGTGGCAGCATCGTTTCCGGGACACCTGAGATTTTGAGTGGGATTGAGAGGTTCTATGGGCAGCTGTACACGTCATCGTTGGAGCCACACGCAAGTGTGAGTAACGATCCAAGAGCGAGTCTCATCCGACACTATTCCGAAGATATCCCGGACGTCAGTCTGAGCGAGATTAGAATGGCCCTCCAGCACCTTAAAAACGGTAAGGCCCCAGGCGAGGATGGAATTACAGCGGAGCTTCTGAAAGCGGGTGGAAGACCGGTACTTGAAGTCCTTCAGAAGCTCTTTAATTCCGTCCTCCATGGTGGGATTACACCGGAGGCGTGGAGCAGAAGTGCGGTGGTCTTGTTCTTCAAGAAAGGTGACAACGCTCTCTTGAAGAACTACAGACCGATTTCCCTTCTGAGCCGCGTCTACGTGCTGTTTTCGAGAGTCATTACGAATCGTCTCGCGCGCAGACTTGACGACTTCCAGCCTTCCGAACAAGCCGGTTTCCGAAAGGGCTTTAGCACCATAGACCACATACATACCCTTCGGCAAATTGTACAGAAGTCCGAAGAGTACAATTTGCCACTATGTCTGGCGTATGTGGACTATGAGAAAGCCTTTGATTCCGTCGAAATTTGGGCGGTGCTGCAGTCCCTTCAGCGGTGCCAAGTTGACTGTCGGTATATCGAAGTGTTGAAGTGCTTGTACAGTAGGGCTACGATGGCTATCCGAGTACAGAACCAGAGTACGAAACCTATCCAATTGCAGAGAGGTGTAAGACAGGGTGACGTCATATCCCCGAAACTCTTCACCGCTGCATTGGAAGACGTTTTCAAGCTTCTGGACTGGAAAGGATACGGTATCAACATCAATGGCGAGTACATCGCTCACCTTCGATTTGCCGACGATATAGTCCTTATGGCAGAATCGCTGGAGGACCTAAGCACTATGCTCAATGACCTCGATAGTGTTTCCCAACGGATAGGTCTTAAGATGAACATGGACAAAACAAAGATCATGTTCAATGTCCTTGTCACACCTATGCCGGTAGTTGTTGGGAGCACTAAGCTCGAAGTTGTTGACGAGTATGTTTACCTGGGACAAATAGTCCGACTAGGTAAGTCCAACTTCGACCGAGAGGTCAATCGACGGATTCAAATCGGCTGGGCAGCGTTCGGGAAGCTACGACACATCTTCTCGTCAGACATACCTCAAAACCTGAAAACGAAATTGTACAACCAGTGCGTGTTGCCAGTGATGACTTATGGAACTGAGACGTGGTCCTTCACTGCTGGCCGTATGAGGAAGCTCAAGGTCGCTCAGCGAGCTATGGAGAGGGCTATGCTCGGAGTTTCTCTGCGTGATAAACTTAGGAATGAGGATATCCGCAGTAGAACCAGAGTAACCGACATAGCCCAACGGATTAGTAAGCTGAAGTGGCAGTGGGCCGGCCATATAGCTCGAAGAACCGACAACCGATGGGGAAGAAAGGTTCTCGAGTGGCAGCCTCGTACCGGTAGGCAAAGTGTAGGGCGTCCCCCCACGAGATGGAGTGACGACCTGGTAAGACATGCAGGAAGTCGATGGATGCAGGTGGCTCAAGACCGTGCTTTGTGGCATTCTTTGGGGGAGGCCTATGTTCAGCAGTGGACTTGTGAAGGGCTGTAATGATGATGATGATGATGATGAAGACGCATTATTGTGGTGCAAAATCTAAGAATTTTATTTGTACAAATCTAGCTTTTTCGTCTAATTTGTTCTCTTTAACGCCACATGACGCTTAAATAATATTTTTTATTTACCGCTTAACCTCCTCTGAAAGAATTCCGAGTGCATAACACCGTGATAGTCAAAGAAAACAATCAACATGACTTTGACTTTTGATCGACTTTGGCGTGGTTTTTTCGGTTTCGGTTCAGTTGGAAGGCGCCATTTCAAAGGTTGTTGACTAGTTGGCATGTCAAACTCGTAAACCCACTTCTCGTAACAATGCGTTACATGAATGTTGACTCGGAATTGACTCGTTCTAGCATGTCCTCAGCAATTCTTATGGGATACAGTTTTTGGAGAAAATTCAGGTATTTTGGGACTAGCCGAGCGGCAACATGTTTCATACCTAAGTGATTATTTAAAATGGTACGGATGGAATTGTGAGATAGAAAAAGTTCGGCTACTATCTGTATCAAACTTGAATGAAGATTTTCAGTCACTATTTCCTTCACTTCTGCGATGTTAACTTCAGTTGCAGACGTTGATGGCCTTCCATCACATCTAGACCGTTTTTGAACGCATTGTACCACTCATAAGCACGTGCTTTTGATAAAGTCGATTCACCGTAAGCCTTCTGTAACATTTTTATTTCGTGTTTGGAGTCACTGAAAATTCTTAAAATTTAAGACAAAATCTTTGTTCCATGTTTTTGTCCATTGTAAAATTCGCAATACACACTAGATATGATGTAACTAAAACAGCACTGTATTTAATCTAAACATCAGAAGTAACTCAAACTCTCTGCCAAAATGGAAAACAGTTGTGGCAATCTAACAACATCAAAATAAATTGAATTTGGAAGAATAAACAAATCATCCATTCCCGATAATTTTTTGACTGAATGTAAATAACCATATCTCAAATATGTGTTTATCTCTCTGTCTGTCTAGGCTAATCTACGGAATGACTGAACCGGTTCTTATAAAAAGCAATGTCATTAAGGATCTAGGCTATGTTTTGTCCGAAAACTTGAAGATATTTTCGCAAAAACGAATAATTGGTAAAATAAATGTTCTTTGATTATCTTTAATCTGAATAACGCCTTATTAATAGATCCTATATAAGCAAAGCCGAGGCGGGTCGCTATTATATAATAAAGTTAAATTCATTATAAGAGTATTAACTGCTAATCTAAGTACATTCCGAGCGTACAAATTATATGAATTTTCATTCAACTTAGTCCGAATCGTTTTGTACGACTACGTGAATAGATTAATTTATCTTTTCGTAACTGTATGATTCTTGTTAAATAATATACAAAACTATTCGAAGCCAGTGCTACACTACAATCCTACCTGGTAGTAAGTGGTGATAAAGTAATGAACACCCAGATGGTAAATCGTACTGTCTTAGCGTAAAAAGACTATTTACTCTTTCTTTGCAGGCAACTAGATTGTAATCGCGATAAGACAGACGCCGAAACATTATTCCACGCCTTTGCCGTACGCACTACGAAAGACGAACCAAACCACTACATAAAAGAAATAACAAAAACGTTTGAAACGGCACTATTTTGTATTTTCGTCTAAATAAGAATTCGTCGTCTTAGCGTACATGGATATAAGATATGGAATTCACCGCGACTGCAAATAAACAAGTTTTCTGTGGAATAATCTATTCAATACATAACTTATTGCTTCTTAAAATTATCCGTCATAACATTTTAAAGTATATTAAGTATATATATATATATATATATATATATATATATATATATATACGTAGGCGGTCCCATAATGAATTGGCCTAACTATGAACCAATGAAGGAAATGAAACGAAACCAATTTTATTTTCAATATAATCACCATGAATACTAACACACTTCTGACATCTGTGAATCAACATCTCTAAACCTTTATAAAAATAATCACATTTTTTATCCTCAAAATGACTGAAGACGGCCGCCTGCAACTCTTCATCGCTTGAAAATTTTCTTCCTCTTAAGTCCCGCTTTAAATTTGGAAATAAATAATAGTCGGACGGGGCCATGTCTGGACTGTAAGGTGGATGTTGAACTTCTGTAAACCGGCATTGACGAACTGCATCCTTCGAAACACCAGCGGTATGAACAGGGGCGTTGTCATGGAGCAACAGGACACCTTTAGACAGCTTGCCTCTTCGTTTTTCCTTTATCTTGTCTCGTAATTTATATATTAAAGAAGCATAATATACACCCTTTCACGACTGTATTACGTTCTTTAAAATCCACCATCAAAATGCCTTGAAAATCCCAAAATATTGTGCACATCAGTTTTTTAGTCGATTGTTGCACCTTTGCCTTTCTAGGGGGCTTTTCACCCTTATAACGCCATTCCATTGACTCGCGCTTGCTTTGTGGATCATAATACAAGATCATAGTTTCATCACCAGTCACTAGCCGCTCGATCACAGTCTTTGGATTTTCGCCACAAAGATCCAAAAACTCCGAAGCGCAGCGCACTCTTTCCTGTCTCTGTACCGCTGAAAGAAGTTTCGGTACCCATCTTGCACTCACTTTTTTCATGTGAAGATGTTCATGGATCGCGCGATGAACGGTACTCTTAGACAGCCCAAGCCTTGCTGCAATTTCTCTAATCTTCAAACGGTGGTCACTCAGAACCTCCTCTTCGATAAGAGCAATCGTTTCAGGAGTGAGCACTTCCACAGGTCGACCGTCGTGGCCAAAGTCTTCGACGGTTTCTCTCCCGAGGCGAAACTCTTTCACCCAATTTTTCACTGTGCTATAGGAGGGGGCAGACTCCTTATACACGCCATCCAATCGTTCTTTTATTTGGGCAGGGGATAAACCTTCTTTAAACAGAAACTTTATGACACTTCGATACTCAGTTTTCGACATTTTGAAAAAATACGCGACTCTCGTTATTCAAATGCCTGTTAAACTAAGACTAAGCATTTCATGTCGATGCATGTTTCTTATATTAAGTGCACGATAAACGTACTATTTAATGCAACACAACATGTAGCGTCATGTCGCGTTGAACTATATCAGGCCAGTTCATTATGGGACCGCCTGGTATATATATATATATATATATATATATATATATATATATATATATATATATATATTATATATATATATATATATTTATATACATATATATATTAATTTTAAAGCTTTATAAAATTATAGTATGTATGTGTATGTGTTATGTCTTAAATCGATACTGCATTATAATATGTTAAGTTATTTCAGTCTCTTAAATTTATGCTGACATGTGATTTGTATTGCTATATTAGCATAACAGAAACATAAAATGAACTAATCGATAAATAATAACGGATGCTGTGCTTGTCATTGTCAGGAACTTATTTATAGTCTAGGATGGGCGCTGATAATAACAATTTTATATTACATGTAATAACTAAATATAACGATTTCTATTTTTTTTTCTATTTAGTAGGGACACCTGATATTATCCAACGTCGGTAATTATTTAATGTTCATTTACTTTTTTCTTTGCTAATACAAACATTTATTTTTCTCTTTCAGTCCGTAAAAGTTTTTATCATGTATAAAATATAGAGCCATGTTGCAGTTATATTATGGTTGTAGCACAAATGGTTCGGCTCGATCGGGGTGGATCACGTTCTCAAAGAATATGAGCGTGAAATTGCAGCTTAATGCTGCTGTGTTTCGTATAGTGAGTGTAGAGAACCGGAGACCCTTTTTACTGGATACGAGGCATTCCATTTTAGTCTTTAGGTGTGTCGATGCATCTGCATTTTGATTCTTATTCGAGGATATATGTAGATGTGGATGTATGTCTATGGGCCACAGCACCCACTTACCATCAGGTTGGCTGTATACTTGCTTGTCACTCTTATTCTATAAGTAAATCAATTGCAAACCATAGGCATTGTATGGAGAGTTTACCTCTCTTGCTTGAATCGCTTCGCTTGGCGGATTGGTTATCGCTATAACAAGTCACGTACTATTAACATTGCTCGCCGTCGGTATGGTTATTTTACGTCTGGCACAAATAAGATACTTATCTAGCCATGTTTTGGAAGCCATGACATCATTACGCTATTAGTCTATCAAACGAATAAAAATATGGTTGAAAAGCACTACAACAAGCAAAGCGAAGAGGTGTATTCTCCACAACTCTGAAAAAGACTTGCAGCGTGTTACAAAACATCAACGTGATCATCATTCTACATCAATCATGATTTGGTGATGGTGGGGTGGTTTCTTACCAAGGAATCACGAAGATTCTGAAAGATCTTTTGAAAATAAAGCTTAATGATTTTGACCAAAGTTAATCAAGAGACTGTCTTTCAAATAAGGAAGCCTAAATCGATTTTCCTTCAAGACTGCACTTGGGCACTGGGCACGAATAATTTAAACTCGAGCTCGAGAACTATATTCAAGACTTAGTAGAGTAAATGCTGTAGACTGGCCCCCTTCTAGTCTAGATTTAAACCCGTTAGTTTAAAAATTTCAGTCAGCACTAGAGACCATAATCTACTAAAAATAAATCTCCGATATTGAGCCCATCAAGAAAATTTTACAATATACAGTGGCTTAATTCCCCATAGAGACAGTAAACGAATCAATAGATTCGTGACCAGGGAGATTAAAGGTCTGGATTAATGCCAAAAGACAGCCAGCCACATGTATATATATATATATATATTAATACACTCTTACTTTTTGGTACTTATATTGTATAATATTTATTTTCAATAGAAGACTATTACAATAACTGGATCTCATGTTTTGGAATACTTTAATTCTTTATTTGGTTAGTATATTCACCTGCATTTTAATAACCGTAGTGTTGATTTTATAATGTTATGTAGCTCTCACAGAAAATGCTGCAGTACTTCGTATGGTAAGTGAAGAGATCCATAGGCCCTTTTTTCTAGATACAATGCATACCATCTTACTCCTCAGGGGTGACAACGCGTCGAATATTGATTCTTAAGTTTATTTCTTAAGTTTATTCGAGGACGGGTGTAGTGCTCCCAACATCTACCGCCAAGGAAAACAAAGATCAGGTGTAACGTAAATGTCACTCACATTTACGTTACACCTGATCTTTGTTTTCCTTTCCATGTTCATTTTAAGATCCATCGTATAGATGCCGATGATAATGAATAAACACTTCGTACATTACATTCATTGCTATGCGGATGACAGCACTGGTGATGCTCTATACACCGGCCGTGCCAATATTTCTCGGGAAAACGTCGCTGAGTACCGGAACAAACTTGTGTCTGAAGTCGAGTCTTTGCTGAACAAAGTGTCGGATTGGGGGCGACTAAATCTAGTCTAGTTCAATGCCCAGAAGACACAAGTTTGCGCGTTTACCGCTAAAAAGAACCCCTTTGTCGTATCTCCTCAGTTTCAAGGCACTCCCCTTATTGCCTCAGCCAGTATCGATATCCTCGGAGTCGACATATCGAGTGACGTGCAGTTTCGTGGTCACTTGGAAGGGAAGGCCAAATTGGCCTCTAAAAAGCTTGGCGTGCTCAGCAGAGCGGGACAGTATTTCATGCCGGCACATCGCTTGCAACTTTACAAAGCGCAAGTTCGGCCTCACATGGAATACTGTTCTCATCTCTGGGCAGGGGCTCCCCAGTGCCAGCTCCTTCCACTTGACCGCATCCAACGCAGAGCGGCTCGAATTGTCGACGACCGAGCCCTTTGCGATCGGCTCAATTTATTGGCAATGCGAAGAGATGTTGCATCCCTTTGCATTTTCTTTCGCATCTACCATGTGGAGTGCTCTGAGGAATTGTTCGGATTAATCCCAGCCGCCAAATTTCACGAACGCACATCGCGGCAGAACTCCCGATACCATCCACACCATCTGGATGATTGGCGGTCCACCACTGTGCGATTTAGAAGATGTTTTCTTCCTCGCACGACCTCCTTGTGGAATCGATTACCATCAGCGATTTTTCCGGACCGATACGACTTAGGGACCTTCAAGAAAAGAGCGTACTCCTTTTTAAAAGGCCGGCAACGCATCTGCGATTCCCCTGGTGTTGCAGTTGTTCATGGGCGGCGGTAGTCACTTACCATCAGGTGAGCCGCATGCTCGTTTGCCCCCTCTCCTATAAAAAAAAAAAAAAAAACATACGTGAAGTCCACCAACAAGCACTGGAGCAGAGAGGGGGACAATTTGCTTCATAACCCACTCAGAAATCCGGGGAGCCTTGAGCAGCAGTGGGACTTGTATAGGCTGCAACTTCATTTTTCTTTACTACACAAGAAACAAGTAAATGAGTGATAAAATTTCTGTTAACAAAAAAATAAGTATAATAAAATAAAAAGGCTATCGCAAATTACGAGTATTTTTATATCAAAATGTGATGTATGTGCAACATTCAACTATTAAAGTAAACTTAGTGTTATAATTTAATTTTTAATAATTAATTTTTACCAAATTTTATATTATATACTTATACATTATAAGAAAAAGTATTTAAAAATTGCTCAATAAATCTTGATATCGTTAGAGTAACAGCGCTGTGGCTGTAATAAATTGTCCGGCATTATCCTGGATCAGGTGCATTTTTAGAGCTTCGTTGTCAACAAGAAATCCTTATAATTTCGTTTTGTCCGTTCACCCTAATGTCTTCCTTTAGATCAAATTATAGATCTCAATTTTAGAAAAAGAAATTATTACAATGGGTTTTTATGTTCTTCTCATATATCACTCTTTCATTATAGACGTTACGGTTTTTTGTTTTCGAGCTCGTCTGAGTTGGAACGTACCAACCGATTGCTCATTCCCGTCGCCAAACAGCAGTATAAAGCCGTATTTTGATTGGATTTGTGGCATTTTATCTATCAGGTAGGCTTATTTTCCTCCCTAACTTCACGAACGGATTCCCGCCATGTTGTGGCGGGCCTACCGCCGTAACTTGGTCACCCGCGGTGAACAAAGAGGAATTCCACTCGGCTGGTCCGAGCTGGCCACTCCGAGTGCGCTTGGCGAGCTCACTTCGAAATGCGTTGGTAGGCTGCGGCAAGAATGATATCCTCTCCCTCTACCGTTGCAGCTGAGGTGGAGTCGCGGAGGAAGAGGAGTGGTAGTATGCAATGCGCCACTCTACCTACTGCGTTGGATGCGGTGATCGTGGGGCTACGGGGGAGATGAGTGTCGGTATTGCGAGGCGCCGCTCTCCCTATCCCTCCGCAGCCGAATTTGGATTTGCGGCGGCCATAGACCAGATTCGCCGCTAGGGTCAGATAGGCTAGTGTTTCTGAGTGCTCGTTTTTCCTGGCCCCATAGCTTTCGCGCATCGAACATGGAGCCTCTGTTGTGCAGGTGCAGTAGGAGGTCGTGAAGGAAGGCACGCCATGTATTCTGGTGCGCCTTACCCGAAGAGGAGATGGGTGAGGAGTCGTCCACTCTCGAGAACTACTTTGCGACTGCGACTGTAATCTATTTATTTTTTATGGGAAAGACGGGAAATCCACGTGATGGTAAGTGGTTGCTATGGTCCATATACATTTATTTCTATCCTTAATTAAAAATCAAGATG